AGAGAGGGAGGAAGGAAGGAAGGAAGGAAGGAAGGAAGGAAGGAAGGAAGGAAGGAAGGAAGGAAGGAAGGAAGGAAGGAAGGAGACCACGCATGTCATGGTTTCCATCCGGGTGATCGGAGCCCAAGATGGCGCCCGCAGCAGAACTCTGCACTAGAGGGAGGGGCACCGTGAAGAAAAGATGACGTTTGTTTAATGTTTGCTTCAACTCCGGGGGCTGGCGGCGCCAGGCGGATCGGGCACGAATCCCCCAGCAGTTGGATCTGCGGCGCCACGCTTCCTTCGGGTCTGCGGGCGCCAGGCGTGTGCGGGGGTGGCGAGTCCGTCTGTTCGGGGCTCCGCTGCCTCACTCATTCATGTTTCTTACCCGGGGCGGCTTCAGCACAGCCTCTCCGTCTGGCGAGGCCACCTGTGTGTTTATCCCGGCGCTGGTGACGGTTCCCAGCCGCCAAGTTTTTCCAGAGGTGAAGGCCGGGACGCGCTCCAGCCCCTCCTCAGAGCTCGCGCCGTGCCTCCGCGGCTCCGGGTGGCGGGAGTTTCCTTCCCGCGGGTACGCGCGTGGGGGAAATGTGCGTACGTGCGTGCGTGCGCGCGCGCTCGCCGGCAGGCTAACAGCCCGCGGGCACGAGCCGTGAACCTGCCGCACTGCAGCACCTCTCAGCACCGCGCGGGGGCGGGGACGCGCAAGAGGGCGCCCAGGAACCGCCGCGGTCCAGCCAGCCGTGTGAGGGCCTCCGCTGGTTACCATGGGAACCGCGGCGTAGGCTGGCCTGACGTCAGCGAGAGGCGCGCTACCCGCACTGCGGCACGGGGGTCTGTTCGCTCGCGCAGCCCAGAGCGCGGGGAGCTGGTGACTGAGCTGCCTGCGCCGCGGCCTTCTTTCCTCCCTCCGTTCCTCCCTACCCTGCCCTGCCGGGCGCAGGGAGCTATTCGCACCGTCCCGGCTGTGATCCCGGACGGGACAGGCCTAACCGCCGCGCGTTCCTCTCTGTGAGTACCGCTTCCTGGGTGCGCTGTGGCGGGAGCCCGGCTCTGGAGGCTCGGCCTGCCCCGGCTCCTCGAGGGGCGGCGGCGTGGGGGGCTACTCGAGGCGGGGGGCGCGAGGCGGAGCTGCACCCCGCAGGCCGCGCGCGCCTCGGGGCCTCCCCGGCGAGAGATGCGGTCCGCGCGGTTACCACCGCGCACTTTCCCGGGCGGTCTCGGATCACCGAGGCTGTCCAGCGTGCTGCTCCGACCCAGGACATTTACCTCTGCCTTTCCCAATTAATCCGTTTTCTTTTTCCCTACTTAAAAGCTTCAGTGTTGTCCAAGCATTATCCGGACTAAGTATACTTATTTCCTTTTAGAAGGTCGACCAGGTGCAGAATCTTGAACCTGTGAAATGTCTTCTTAATTACATCGGAGAAAAGGTGATCAGTGTGTTCAATTAATTAGATGGCTAGTCAGTCGCTTCGGTATGCATAACAACAGGAAAGAAAATCTTGGCGCAGCTTTTCAGTCTCGCTTTTTCCTAGTCAAGGAACAGGATGCTAACAGGTTTTTCACCTGTTGCAGTAACGATCGCTGCGATTGCCGAGGCTGGCTGGGGGAATTTGCTTTCGAGGAGGGACTCAGGGAATTGTTTTGGAATATTAGAAAGAAATTTGAATGTCAAAAGTGTTTTTAAACGCTAATTAAAAGCTTGTTTATTTAGGAAAACTGTCGTTGATTTCGTCATTGAATTATGTAAATAGGATTTTTTTTTCACAAAAATCTGTTTAAAAAATGAATTAAGCAAGCCTGCTTTTTTCCTTGCCTTGATGTCGAGTCACGTACTGCGTGGTAATCAGGTGGTCAGAGCAGAAGAAAATGAAACGCAATCCATTTAATTTTCCTACGCAGTATTTTCTAGAAGCTTCTGTAAAAGACTTTGAAGGGAGAAATTTAAGAATTATGGTATACATGAAATTCAGGGATTCTTTTAAGGTTAACCTTAATTTTTGCAGATGTCATTAATCAAATATTAGTTATTTTTCCATTATATGCTGTAGTACATTAAGAGATAATTATTTCTGTAATGTGTTTGTTGTATTGTGACTAAATGATTCTAAGTGCTCATTAGTTCAGACGTGCATTAGACTATTAAATAATGGCAAATAATGTAAATGCATATTTTTCATAATTTCATCTATCAGTTTATTATATAATTATGTGTTTATTCAATGGACAAAGGAATTTTATTTAGCACCTGAAATATTGTTTTATTTTCTTTTTTGATATTTTTTTTCTTTTCACAGTAGAGTAGGTGCCATTTTAATTTGCCAGGCAAGAAAAAAAAAACACCTAGTAATATTAAGTAGCTTGCCCAGCACCACCCATCAATAAGCGACACAATACAAATTTAATCCCCAGCCTTTTTGACTCCAGAATAATTTTACAGCCATTTTTTCTTTTTTCTTTTCTTTTCTTTCTTTCTTTTTTTTAAAAATTAGGATACCAGGTAAAGGGAGCATTTGGCTTGATCCTCCAAAAGCTAGCAGTGTGATGGTGCTGGTGGTTGGGGGTGGGGTCACAGAACATTTTGTCAGGGTGAAAATTCAGAATTGAGGTAAACAGATAAATGATAAAAGGATCCTGGGAGCAGGTGAAGAACTGGAGGGACTTAGGGGAAAGTATCACTTACATTTAAATGTCAAAGGCCAGTTTTCACTGGCAAAGGAGGGAAAGCCATTTTGCAGAGGGAATAGTACTAAGGGCAAATTTGGCACATTGAGGAGTGCCAAATAAGTGTTTTACACATAGTATAAACAAAGACAAAGAGTCATTTCATAAATGACTTTGGACTTCAATGGTAGGGACTTGCTATTTTTCTTGTAGGTGGCTGGAAGCTAAGGAAGAGTTTTAAACACATGACAACGTTGCATTCATATTGTACAAAATCACTCTGGTTGCAATGTAGAGTTCAATTTAGGTTTTAAAAAGGGTGGGTGGGGGCTGGGAAGGTGGCTCAGTGGTAGAGTGCTTGCCTTGCATACATGAGACCCTGGGTTCAATTCCTCAGCACCACATAAGCAAAAAGCAAAAAGCCGGAAATGGCACTGTGGCTCAAGTGGTAGAGCATTAGCCTTGAGCTGAAGAGCTGAGGGACAGCGTCCAGGCCCAGAGTTCAGGAAAAAAAAAAAAAGGGTGGGTGATGGGGGAGGGTTGGTGATGGGGGAGTAGAAACAATCTTTTTTGGTGGAAGGAAGCAGGGAGTGCTGGGGATCTAAATTAGGCCTTGGTGCATGCTGAGCAAGTAAGCTACATTCTTAGCAAACTTAAACAAAACCCTTTTTTTTGTGTGTCTCAAAGCTTCTACTTCTGTCATGGATTTAAAGGACAATGGATTTAAGAGAACATACCCTACCTACTTTTCTGGGTTTTTTTTTGAGATTATGGCTACCAGGTTTTTGCCCTATGAAAAGTCAATTTTTTTTGTCTTCATGTGACTTATTATAGATGCTGATTATAGATCTAGTGGCATTGTTCAAAATTTGCAGCATTTTTTGACACCACACAAATGTAGCCCACCTTTCTTAAAACCTTTTTCTCATGTACTATTTCTTCTAGTTTTTCACCAGCTTCTTCATAAACATTTTATTTTATGGGCCTCAAGAGTTCTGCTTTTGAAATTTTTTTCTTGCCTCTAGTGTGCATGAATATATGTACAATATATGAAATGAATATGTAATTTATAAAGCATATAGAATACACTTATATACAAATACATATATTTATAAAATATATAAATATGTTTTAAAAGATATAAATACATTTATATGTATAAATATATTTATATAAAGTGGTGCTTTACATATATGTACATATATAAATGATTATATATGTATATATGTACATATATATGTACATATATAAATGATTATATATGTATATATGTATGTTACATGTATATACAAGTGCTTCTCAAATTTTCAGCATATATCCTTGCTACATTTATATATTCTATTTATTGTACTAAACATTACTACTGTAATAATACCATGATAGTTGTTGTTGCTGTTTTCCATGTATACATTTGAAAGCTTGACATGTGCTAGGTATGTCCCAAGAATTTTATCTGCATATTCTCACTTAATCTTCATAAAACCTGTGAATGATTTACTATTATTATTTTTTGACAAATAAGGTTAGGTCTGCGGAGATAAGTCTTCTGGCAGGTGGAACTGAGGTTGGAATCCAAGGATTTGTTAATGAAGCTAATGCTCAGCATTGTTCAGTGTCTCAAATACTCAATTACATGTTCATACTAAGCTCACTGTATAAGAAGTCCCAGTTAATATTATAGCTAATATTTAGTCATGTTTGCCCCGCCTGCAATGCTGTTGTAAATCACTTAACCCTTACAGCAAACCTCTGAGGAGCCACATCAGGTTAACTTAACAGCTAAGAAAGCAAATTTTCCAGAATCACACAGGTGGCTTTGGGGAAATTAATTCTAGGACTTGAGTTTTAATCTATCCAGTATACTGTGTTATAATACATCTAATATTATAGGTCCATTTGTCTTAGTTTAAAGGCATGAAAATAATTCTTGGTTCTTTCTCTTGCCTCTTTAGTGATTTAATATTTGTAAAATGGCATATAAAGTTTCTGCTCTATAGAAAACATGTGTCAAATACAAGTAAATCTTTTTTTAAATTTTTATTTATTTTTTTATTGTGAAAATACTGTATAGAGGGGTTACAATTACATGGGCTACTCATAGTCAGATGTTTGCCTGTATATTGAGTTAACAAAGAATAGTATTAAAAATTCTTATTTTATTTGTAATTCTCCCAGTTGTTGTCAGGCTTCTGTTACTGATGCACTTACCTTTGAAAACTCTCATTTTCTAATTTGGCATGAATTTGGAAAATAGATGACCAGGCTAATTGGAATAGTATCTTTAGACACAGTAATACAGGCTTCTATCGATAAAATTTTGAGTTTTCACTCCTTGGATTTAATGATCTATTTATGTTATAAATTAACTCACATAAACAATATATATCTGTAATTATCCTTTTTTTCTTTTCTTTTTTTTTAGCATTTCTTCTCAGATTTTTCTGCTAGAGGAATGAGAAATGGATCCCTAGGGAATTGGAACATAAGCTAATACTGTCTGAGCCAGTTCAAAATATGACCTTCCTTTTTAAAAACAAGCTTCAATTTTATTCATAAAATGTATGAGTAATGCCCACATGTGGATATTAATATGTTCATTTTAGATGTATACCCCATACTTAAGTAAAGTTGGCAATTCAGGAATATATATGCTGAGTTTACCCTGATTTATCCATAGTGCCGACACAATACATAACAAGGTATTTATTTATTAGAGAAAGATAGTGCAGATGCCTACCACCCACTATTAAAGCATAATTTCCTTGGAAAAGGACCAGAACATTTAAATTTACTATCTAACTGCTATCCACAAATGTATTTTGTTAATGTATTTTAATAATTGCTCTTGGAAAAGTTAGTTTCTAAATAGTTTGAAAGAGCACATTAAAATGTTCTACATTTATTAAAATACTTTAAACATGTATTCTCATACTGTTCAGTATTTATTGCTTTCTTTGATGCTTTTTGTTTCAAATTTGATTAACTAATTTCAGAACATACTCAGATGTAATTCAAGTAATTCACATAAGATTGGAATAAGAGAATGTAGCATTACTGTTTGAAACCTGGGAAAATAGTGGCATTGTCATGGCATAATCTAGGCATGATTTAGAATTTTTATTTGGAAGTTTCATATTATAAATAAATCCTTTTTGTTTTAATAGGATACTGATTGAGTCAATGTTTTGCATTATTTATCAGTGCTTGTCATAAACCTGAGACATGTCTACTGGTAAGACTTCCTATAAAATTTGTGTGTAAAATTCATATTTTAAGGAATTCTTAAATAAGTGAGTGAAGTGTATGTCATTAGCTAAAACATATCGAGATAGTATATATTTTAGACTTTACATCTTCTGTAGTGACTTACCAAAATGAAAGCATATATAATAATTCTTGTTTAAATGAGCATATCTGATTTCAGTAGACCTTTATTTACAAAGTCAAATGACTAGTTAATAGGCCATAGTTTGCCCATAACATCTCTAGGTCATTCATTCCTTTGTTCATTCACTATTTAATCATTGAAATATATTTAGTAATTCCCTACTCTGCGCTAGCCAAAACTGATAAGTAGCAGCTAGAGACCCTTGAAGTAAATAGTATAATGGGAGAGGTAGACAACATATTTATTTACCTAGATATGCACAGGATTATATATGTTCCATTGAGTTAAGTGCTATATGGCAAAGAATAACTACTAAGTGAAAACAGAAAAATTTAGACCTTTTAGACTATGGTCCTTTTTAGAGGTAACAGCTCACCATTCACATGAAAAGAAACTTGTTCTGACAAAAGAGCTATGAAAAGGGAAGCAAGATAGAGATATCCAAGGGAACATTTGTCATGATTTGAACTTGGAGTTATTCAGTTAGGAGGCAGAGAATCCTATGAGGATATAAAGGATTTGTGTAATTCTTTTTTTTTTTGGGGGGGGGGTCCGGTCGTGGGGCCTGTACTCTGGGCCTGGGCGCTGTCCCTCAGCTCTTCAGCTCAAGGCTAGCGCTCTACCACTTGAGCCACAGCGCCACTTCCAGCTTTTTCTCTTTGCTTATGTGGTGCTGAGGAATCGAACCCAGGGTCTCATGCATGCAAGGCAAGTGCTCTACCACTGAGCCACCTTTCCAGCCCAAGGATTTGTGTAATTCTAAGTGAAATGGGAAATATTCAGTAATTCATTGAATAACCTGATTTGTGTTTTAAAGGAAAAAAATATTATTAGTTAAATGTCAGATGTAAGCTGGGAAAGTATTAGTTGTTTTTCATGTAGATTGATCTTTGATAGAATTATTGTGACTGTACAGGTAAGGAAAATGAAGTTTACAGATTTTTTTAAATTGTGAAAATACCGTACAAAGGGGTTACAATTACATGAGAAAGGTAATGAGTACATTTCTTATCAAGCATTGTTGCCTCCTCCTTTGTTTCCCCTTACCATCCCTTCCCATCTCCCTGCTCCACTCCCCCCAAAGTTGTAAAGTTTGTTTTCGAAATAGCGTCTTGTATATCTCATTGTTGCAGAGGGTCCACCTGTATCCCTATTTAAGCAATTTGTTTTTTTCCCTTCCCCTCCACAAAGTATGCCAACATCAAATACAGTGAAAACGGGTTATACCATGGGGGAGGGACATACAAAGCAACATAGAAATCATCTTATAAATATGTTAGAAACAATTGCAAGGAAGAAAAAACATTTGAATACTTACCTTGGGGTTCATTTCACCTAACATCAACTTATCTGACTGTTTCTGCTTGTCTCAGACAAATAAGGGAAACCATGAGACCTATGTTTCTTTGGGCCTAACTTACTTCACTTAATATAGTTTTTTCCAAGTCTTTCCATTTCCTAACAAATGGGACAATGTCATTCTTTCAAAGTTTACAGATTTTAAGTTACTTCTCTAAGGCTATGTGGCCTATAATGGTAGCTAGTATTGAGCATTACCAGTAAAACATGAACTTATCAAAGGAAACCTTTATAGGAAGTGACCAAAAGGGAAAGAGAGATAGAAGTGATTGAGATATCACTAGAACTAAAAGTAAAAGTTAGACTCAGTTGTTATACATGTAGGTATCTATAAGACTATCCCTTAACACAATAGTAATTTAGGTGTTGTTGTATTTCAGTTGTTTAGAACATGACAGGAGTCTTTATCTTTTGTAGTTGAGAGTGAAGCCAAAATAAAAACCAAAGTTTGCTTTGAAGAATTACTTAAGGCCCACAGTGATCTAATACATGAAAGGAAAAAACTAAGGAAAAACCTTGCCAAATCTAGAGAAGAGATCTCAGTGAGTAATTGATCATTCACTTGTGGTGACTTAAATATATGCATACAATTATTTTTGTACTAAGCTTGTATGGAATTTTGAAAATTAAAACAGTAAGTCAGTGTTGTGACTGGTAACCAATGGTAAATAAAGTTTACATCAGAACCATACTACTCTTAGATTGTTTAATTTGGTCTTGAGTGTTGCTATCCTACACAAACTAGACACATAGGTGAAGATGACCAAAACACGAGGAAATTCAAACTACCATATCATGTTTTGAGGAATATATTTCTAACTTCAGAATTGTGAACAATATAGGAAATAATATCTTCAATATTTAATGGCTTGATTTTATTGAGGCTTAATTCTTTTACTATGTACATTGGTACCATGAAGCAGTAATTATGTTTATGTTTGAGGTACACTTGAAAGGATTAAAAATACAGAACTTGGCCTGTCATGGTGGTTTGTGCCAGTAATCCTAGCTACTCGGGAGGTTGAGATCAAGAACATTGTAGTTTGAAGCAAGCAGGCAAAAAGATACTGTGACTTCTTTCAATAAACAAGACAGGTATGGTAGGAAAAACCTTTAATCCTAACTGTGCAAGAGACATAGGTATGACTGTAGAACAGGCCAGGCCTGGCAAAATTCACAACACCCTATCAGAAAAACAAACCAAATGGTTTAAGACCATGGCCCAAGTGGTATAGATTTGCCTAGTAAGCATAGAGCCCTAAGTTCAAACCCCAGTACTACACACACAGAAGAAAAAACAAAACTCAAAACATTTCTCAACAAATAGCCACTATATACAACTTGATTCCATTGGTATTATAAAGAGTCTAATAACATCCACAGTGAGGACACTGTTCACTCTTCATACCTGTCTATTTCAATTGTACTCTTTCTCCTTTGACCATAATCTTTTGTGTACACACACACACACATTCTTTTTTTTCCAAAAATCATTATGATGAAGATTTTTTAATGCCAAAGTACAACTATGCCAAAGTACAACTAGCCTAAAAGCATATGAAATTTAAGAAAGTTTCACCACTTTCTATATGTATGCTAAGATGAAACTTATGTTAGTATTCTGTCTGGTATGCATCACTATGCCTATATGCTCCGGTAATACAAACATAAATAAGCTGTAACATTGGCCAGAATCCAGCCATAAGCAAATGAAAGTTTGTAATATGCATTTACCACTTACACCAATTTAGTGCTAGAATGGGACAGATTATCTTCCATAGTAAATATTGTTCTAAAGTAGAGCAATATTTTCTGCTATGTTTTGTCTGGTGGTACCAGTATATAGTATGGTACCACCCATGGACTTTATAACCCATGAACAAAATGCTAAAAGTTTAAGCCAAGAATTCTGAATGAAGTAGATAACTGGAAACTGGGCAGAATTTATACCTTATACCTAAGTTTAAGTTTAGATGTTGAGGGCATAGAAGTGTGAAGTCACTAGGTTTAATCTACCAAGCTTCTCTTGGCAGATACCAAACAGATTTGCTTCCAGAAATAAATACACCAGGGAAAAGAAAATAAGAAGAAATGCTCTAGTTCAAAAGAAGGAGAGCTTATAAGGAAAACAGTATTTTTGAAATAATTTTTAACTCCAGAAAGTAGAAGAGGTGACTAGATATATGAGTCTTGTCTCGGGCAGTCTTCTAAACATTATATAAGCACTTTATTTTCATTTAATATAAAACATAATTATGAGGTTTTATGTGAACAGATAGGGAAACTAAATTACAGATACAGAGTAACTTTATAGAGTAACTTGCCTAAAATTACATAGTAAAGGAAGTGGTGCTGTAGCTCAAGTGGTAGAGCGCTCTTCTTGAGCTGAAGAGCTGAGAGTCAGCGCCCAGGCCCAGAGTTCAAGCCCCATGACCAACAAAAAATAAAAAAATAAGTTACGTAGTAAATGGTGGAAACAGTATTCATTGACAATCTGAGAATCTACTCTCCTAATAAACACAATTCAGTGTTACTTTTAATAAAAGGTGAAAAGATTGGACCTCTCTGGATAAAGAACAAGATTTTCTTTTGTATGTAATAGGCTAGGTCTAAACTGGAGTTGATATCATGGAAAAATCTAATTAGTGACATGAGAAACAAATGTGAGATTCTTCCATGACCAAAAATGAAAGAAATAACTGTTATTTCTAGTACTAATGGAACAGGGAAGAAGTTTTTTTAAAAAATCAGATGAAACTTTTCTAAAGTTAAAATATCTAAAGTGTATGAGATGACTAATGTATCAAGAAACTTTTTTTCAGGAGAAAAAAATTACAAATATATAAACAGACCTCAACTGCATTTCAGACTTTATAAAAATTTAAAGGACAAGGGAAAAATATAGAATAATTAATACCTACAAAATGCCCAGAAAAATTTCCACCCTTTAAAAATCATGATACCACCTTGATAAGAAATGTACTCATTATCTTGCCCATGTAATTGTAACCCCTCTATACAGTATTTTCACAATAAAAAAAATCATGATACCAATATTATGGGGGAAACTGTAAATCAAAAAAAATACCACAGTTAAAGTTGTAAGAATAAAATGAGATGTGTAAGACATAAAGCTGATGTAATATAAACAATGAGAATGAGACAAATATGGCTTAATTTTCCCTTTTTTGTTGTTGTTGAAATATATAGATAATATTGGTATCATGATTTTTAAAGGGAAAATTCTCTGGGCATTTTGTAGGTATTAATAAAACTATATATTTCATTTTGTAAATGCTGATCTGGCATTAGTGAACATAGTAGAATATGACCTATAGCCCAAAGGTACATGAAACAAACTCTAGGAGACAACCATATAAAAGAGACAAATAGGATGTATAAAAAGATCAAGTCAAATTTCTAGATATTAAAAGTATTATATATAGACTATATATAGACTATATTATATATAGTATTATATAAATAGACTGGATAGAATAAGATATTGGAGACTGCCCTGGCTCATGACAGCTGATTGTTAAATATCAGGGAGTTTGTAAATGGATTGTGAAATGGTTGAAATCCTTATTTTGTACAGGAGAATGAAGCACAGCATCAAATTTATCAGAAACAATTTTAGTTATAAAACAATGACACAATGTTTTTAAATTATTGGAAGATAATTAGGCATTACCTTGTAAATCTAAAATAATTTTGGCTTTATCGAAATCAAATATTGAACTTCAGTCTTAACAGGAGATGAATAGGACCTCAAATGGATCATACTCAAGTAGCATGTGGCAAAGCCAAATATATTTAAGGAATCCCAAAAAATCTTGCAGCCAGAAACAAAATGCATAATATCTGATTTTAAGAAGAAAGGTAAGCTGACGGCATGTGGTATGCGCATGTAGTCCCAGCTCAGAATGTATCGGCTGGATAATAGTTCAAGACCAGCATGGTAACATAGTCTACGTAGCAACATCCTGTCTTCAAATAAATGAATGATTAACTTAAGCAAGTGAACATAGTAGAATATGACCTATAACCCAAAGGTACATGAAACAAACGCTAGGAGACAACCATATAAAAGAGACAAATAGGATGTATAAAAAGATCAAGTCAAATTTCTAGATCTTAAAAGCATTATATATGAAATTATAAATAGACTGGATAGAACACAATATTGGAGCCTGTCCCAGTTCATGACAGCTGATTGTTAAATATCAGTGAGTTTGTAAATGGATTGTGAAATGGTTGAAATCCTTAAAGTATTTTATACAGGAGAATAAAGCACAGCACCAGATTTATCTGAAACAATTCTAGCTATAAAACAATGACAAGGTTTTAAAAACATTGGAAGATATTTAGGCATGGTGATGTGCCCATAATTTCAGTTACCCAGAAGGTGGCAATAAGATCATTGAGAGGGGCTGGGAAGGTGGCTCAGTGGTACTTGCTTGCCTTGCATGCATGCGGCCCTCAGTACCACATAAACAGAAAAAGCCGGAAGTGGCTCTGTGGCTCAAGTGGTAGAGTGCTAGCCTTGAGCTGAAGAGCTGAGGGACAGTGACCAGGCCCAGAGTTCAGGCCCCATGACTGACTAACCCCCCCCAAAAAAAGAGCATTAAGACTCAAGGCCAACTTAGCCAGAAAAGTATTGTGGCCCTATTTCAAAAAATAAGTTAGAGCAAGATGTGGGTGGCTCTGGCCCCAAATTAAGATCTGAAGATCATGATTTGAATCCAGTACAGGCAAAAAGATTCTAGTTCCAATTAACCAGTAAATGCTGAACTGGAGATTTGGCTCAAGTGGGAGAGCACCAGCCATGAGTGAAAAGGCTGAGCAAGAGCTAGAGGCCCTGAGTTCAAATCCTCGTACCAGCAAGTTTGCTCACACACATCCACACACACACAAAACCATGGTAGTCTATGTATATAATCCCAGCTATGTGGGAAGCAGACATAGGAGGATCACAGCCCAAGGCCAACCCTAAGCAGGAGCATAAAGCAAAGGAGTCAGGTGTGGCTCATGTACTAAACAAGCTCTCCTAGCAAGCATGAGGACCAACCTCAAACCCCAGTATTCACACAAACACAAAATTACTGCAATTCGGACTATCAACCTTGGATTCTATATCAAAAAGACAAATGTCATTAAAAGTTCAGGTAAAATAAAACCCTTTTTAAGATGGTTAAAAGCTGAAGTAATTCTTTGCCAGCAATCTTGATATACAGGAAATGATAAAGGTCATAACCATAGAAATTTGAACTTACATCAAAGAGTACATAAATAGTAAATATAAAGAGGACTTTATTTTTAAGACATCTTAAAGGATAAGTTTTAAAGTAAGAATCATGATCATTGTGCAGTTTTAGTATGTGTAGAAGTGAAAAGTAGGACAACATGCAAAATTTGGGAGGACATAAATTGAAGTATACTTCAGGTTTCTTTTTTTTTTTTTCTGCCAGTCCTGGGGCTTGAACTCAGGGCCTTTCTGTGCTCAAAGCTAGCACTCTACCACTTGAGCCACAGACCACTT